ACATGTTTCAATGCTAATCTAATATTATTAATAATAAACATCATGGAGGAATGGAATCATGGAACTTTAACAATAGTAGATGAATTTTTATATTAGTAATTAATGTTAATTTAAATTTAAACCATAGAATACTATCTTTGGTTTACCGTCGAGTGATGACTATAATAACTACTTATGCATAGCATAATACTCTCCAACAATTTGAGTATCAAATTTTGTAGATTACCTAATTCGTCGCATTAACTACCGGAATCTGCTACATTTCACCAGAAGATCTAATTAGTAAAAAAAGAAAATTATCAATAAAAGGAAGGAGACTCTTTATGAGGGAAGTAAATTTATGCGGGGAATTACGGTATCTGATATTAATCACAGAACTAATAATATAACATATATAATTTTATTTATCAATCATTTTAAATTTGCACATACCACTTTGTCTCAATTTTTTTAAAACGATATATACAAGAGGTAATTTTTCTTGATTAAATTTTCAACAAACAATGGTACTTCTTTACTTATGCCCCTATAAAAACATTCGACAAATATTCAACAAATTTTCAATATCGATTTTTAATACCTATTCATATAAAAAAGAACTTTTTTGTACTACAAAAGTCAAATTTACACTTGATTTCACATTAAAATAACTAGCTGTATTCTATGAAAAAGACGATTTTTGCGATATTAATAATGAATGTACAATACACCTTTATCAATTTAATGGCACAGCTCCAATATTTTGCTGTGGCACTTTCTGATGTGTGGGTGAAGCGAGAACCATATCTCAACACATGTATCTAAGAACCATCATTACGTGTATTTGAAAGATTATTTAGGATTTAAATTTGTGAAATTTGTAAAATGTTCTTTGTTTTAATATTATAACTTCTATAGAGCAATATTATTTCTTGAAGTTTTTGTTAAAAGTATTGAATTTGAATTTTGAAAAATAAAACAATAAAAATTATTTAAAATTCAATTAAAGACAATATGATAAGTGCTAAAAAACTTTATTTTCAAATTTATTATATTAATAAATGATTATTCAAATAATAAACTTTATGTCATAACTCTCATAATTAAGAATACAGAGGCCAATTTTATTAATAAAATATAAATACGACAGAAATTTTCTCTTTACTTTAAATTTTATAATTTTATTAACTAATTTTAAATAAAGTGTATAATTCTTGTTTAATATAAGTTTTTTCAGTTTTTAAAATTACTGTTCAAACATTAAATTATTACAAAAATTTTTTTAATTAAATTTCTTTTTAATTAGAAAATTTTTGTAGTGACTTTGTAATTCGAATAACTCTTCAGAAAAAATCAAAAACTATAAATTATAAAACTTATTTTAATAATAAAAACGAAATTATTTCTTAATTATAAACTTTCATATAAGAGAAAATTTTAATATTTGCTATATTTATTAACAAAATTGACTCCTGATACCATAAATTTGAAAGCTCTTATATCAGAGTTACTGATTTTATGTGAGTATAAAATATAAATTATACAGGCAAATTATGTAATGTGTTAATCTTTTTATAAATCATGTATTTTATGGTGTTTTTCTTATTATATATATTATTTGGCAAAAAATAGTTTATTATATATCTTAATACTAATAAAATAGTTAAATAAAAATCAAAATTGTATATATAAGTTTTTCAATGAATTTCAGGTAAAGCTTGATTACTAATTTAAAAAAAATTTGATACCGATTCTCACAGGCCTCTTGGAGCTCAATTTCTCGAGAACGAGAATCGAGTGTAAAGCAAACCATTAGATATCCTAGGCTATGGTGAATCGAATATTGGGCTTGCACTAGATTTCCGCCATTTAATCTCGAGACATTGAGATACAAAGAGGTCGTGTGTAAAATCTTTTATCAAAAATAAGTCAAAATCACTCATATAACCTCTTTGAAAACAATATCTCGAAACATAGTGGTGAGAATCGAATATGTTTTATACTCGTTTGTCATATTGAATCTTAAGATATTGAGCCCAATATATTTCAAAAATAGCAATTATGCGAGAATATGTGGTGATATATTTAACATTCTATGTTCAATTTAAATTCGGCGCTGCTATGCAAAACTGGCAGGTAACTAAGAGTTTCTAATTAAGTAAATTTAAGATTTAATTTATATATAATATAAAATAAAATTGCATAAGACATATGCTATATTACTAGTTCTGTTATTAATACCAGGTACCGTAATTCGCCGCATAAATTTACTTCCCTCATAAAAAACCTCCCTCTTTTTATTTATAGTTTTCTTTTTTTACCAATTAAATCTTCTGGTGAAATGTAGCAGATTCTAGTAGTTTATGCGACGAATTAGGTAATTTACAAAATTTGTTACTCACATTGTTGGAGAGTACTATGTTATGTATAAATGGATGTTATAGTCAGCGTTTATGGTAAATTATAAATGCTGTTCTATAATTGTTCATTTTAAATTAACATTAAAAATCTGTTAATTGCTTACTAATATAAAAATCATCGACTATTAGAATTGTTAACTTCCCATTCGATTCCATTCCTCGTGACGATTATTATTAATACTATTTGCATTAGCATTGAAACAACATATCCAAACTAAGTTTACGGAATCACATGGTATAACGAAAGAAAATATACGTAAACAGTATGTGACCGTTAAAGTAATCTCAAATTCTATATTTTGGAGTATCGAATATTTGTGTGTAATTTGAATATAATGCAGAATTTAAAATTCATAATTTCACAATGTCAATTTTAAGAATAGTTATCGGATTAATCTATGTATACCGATACTGTAAATATAAGATCTTTACTCATTACGAACTATTCAAAAAGATCATTTTATGTAAAATATGTGTTCATGAAATGCTTTGAATAATCTTGAACGAATTAACAGATACTATTAGAGTTATCCAACTTCCCTTCGACACAATTACTATAGGCATTATTTGTGCCACCATTACCACCTTTACCGCCAATCGCCGAAGGCGAGAGCTATGCTATTTCTGGTTGGCGTCTCCTCCATCGGCTTTACCGGCATTACCACCGTTACCAACTATTCCTTGTTGTTTTAGTGGTGGGAACCGCGTCAGATAAAGCGATCGTAACGAATTTTTTTAAGGTCATTGTCCATCATTAGATGATACTAAATATAATTTATATATCTCTTTATAAGACTTATTTGTAATTGAAAATCTCTCTTAATAATTAGATGGATATGTATCAATTGTAAAAAATCACGAGTTTTCTAGTCTGCTATAAGAGTAAATATATTTTGCCTAGTCCTCTGGATTATCTTGTGAAGAATTAGTTGAGTTGTCACTATTAATTTCATGAAACCTTTCCATTCATTATGTTGTCTTATATTAATGAACTATGTGATTGGTCAATCAAGCCGTTGCATAATTTGTAGATTCTGTTTCTCAAAGATTTATATGTATAATATTCTTTGCTTTATAATAGTCAATTTCTTAAAAAATCTTATAAAGTATTTTAAAAATTCTAGAAGAAATTTATAGGATCTGAGCTTTATGAAGAATAAATCTTTCTGCTGCTTACACACAAAATCATGAATTGAATAGATAATAGAGTGATAAGACTTTTAACTTTACAGAGCAACTTAATAGTATTGATCTACAGTTGGCATCGGAATTTTTATATAATGCAATAGCGATAGAATAATGAAAAATTGTTGATAATTTTAGAAGTATCTTCTTTATAAGATTCAGAATTTTTTATAACACACAAAAATATTATAAAAAAGTTATTTTATTATTTATTTTAAAATTATTTATATTATATAATATTCTATAATCTATTATACTAATATATATGAATTTTTTTATTATAATTAATATTTATAAATAAATTAATATGATATAATATTGCAAAAAATTATTATAAGAGAATTATGAAAAAATAATTTGAAAATCTGTTAAATTATAAAAATCACAAATTATATAAAGTTTATAATATATGATCTTGTCAAAAAACTCAAAGAAAATAATATTAATATATCTCATTCTATTTTTAAAAGATATTTTATTCTTTTACCTGAAAATTTTCATTATCTAGGCTAAATAATTAAGTAATTTCTATGCTTGAAATAAAAGATAGATTTATCAAAATTAATTCATATCTTAATATATTTACTCATATTATTCAATACATTCTAAATTTCGATTCATAATTTATTAAAGACAAAGAACATACCGGCATTGATTCAATCGCTTTTGGCAGAGAACTTTTTGGCAAAAATAAATTGCAACCGCCCAATTTCGAATTGATTTTCATTGAAAGATTCGTCCAAGTTGAGAAGTTGCGTGGCTTATTTAGGCGATCGGCAATTATACATTGGGATGGGACGCCTAATTCCGTATCGGAAACTTTTTTGATTTCGCCGTAAAGTTGAGAAATTTTTTTCGGCAGAATTATGACAATCAATTCGAGCGGATCGTTTGGTAAATTGTGTTGCCTATAATAGGTATGCATAGTCTAAAAAAACAAAGTGTTATTTATGGTCAGGAAATATAAAGTTCATGCTCTTTTCTCTTACTTCGCTGACATTTCTACCGGTAGTGTCGAAATAAGTTGGCGGACGACCGTTTTTGATTTGCTAAAAAATATCGACATTCATTATTATCGTTATTAAAAAATTGTAAGCTCAAAAAGTAATTTTTATGTTTTGAATGAAAAATATTACAAAGTCATTAAATAAATTTACTTACTATCTAAGCGAAAACAAATTAAAGGAAAAAGTGTGGTGGATTTTAAAAAATTTTTACTCTATATATTAAAATTTTTATGCAATATAATAAAATTAAATTTTTGAAGTTTTAAATGTCCATTTTGGTTTTTTTTGTATTTACAGCGAAATTAAATTAATCTATTGTGAAAAAATTATATGTATATAACGTAACTCTCGAAATTGACCTCTGAAAGATTTAAATATCGTCAGCTTCTTTCACCACTCTTCATAAGAAAATATGCATATTTAATTAATAAAAAGTGAGTATAAGTTAAAAAAATAAACGATATAAAAATTGCAAGATGAAATACCTCAAAAATACATCCTCCAAAGTACTTTGAGTAATAGAATAATCGACAATGCCCCATTCTTTTTTCTTCTCTTCCAAACCTTTAAACAACCTCGAAATAACTCCGCGATTAGCATCAAATTGATATGCTGCCGCTGTAGCAGATTTAATAATTTTTCTGAATGGGGTTGTTATATATGGTTCTATCCGAGAACAAGCAAAACTTAATTGTGAAGAGTTTATAAGTAGTTGAAATCCGGAACCGTGTGTTGTTTTTAGATACAATGGGGACTAATTGATATTGATTTAGTTTGTGTATGTCTGTATTATGTAAATTAAAAAAAAATTATTCCACAACTTACTCCAAGACAACGCAATTGGCCAGCTGCAACTATTCCTATTTTATCACATAAAGCATCTGCTTCTTCCATCTAAATTAACGCAAAAGTGTAAGATTCACGAAGTTCTAAAAGAAAAAGAATCACTAATACTGACCGAATGTGTGGTTAAAATAATTGTTTTGCCTCTTTTAGCTTTCGCTATAATTCCCCAAATAGTACGACGAACATCAGGGTCAAGACCAGTCTATTGATTGATTATCGGAAACGAGAAATAATTTCTTTTGAATGCCACAAAATATGATAATTTCTTCATCCCGATAGTAAACTTACAGTTGGCTCGTCAAGGAACAACACCTTACTATCTCCTGTCAATGCGATTGCAATAGAAAGGCGACGCTTTTCTCCACCACTTAAACTCTGTACAGAGATAAATAATTATTATAATTTATCAAAAAAAAATCATGTCGAAAAAAGCATAAAATCAATACCTTTGTAAGACGAGTTTTCAATTTTGTCAACTCCACCTGCTCTAATGCGTGCTCTACAGCTTGTTTTTCCATTTTTGGACTAACACCTCGAAGTCGTGCATAAAACAATAAATGTTCCTCTATTGTCTGAAAAAAAACCAGTAGATTAGAAATAATAAAGTTAATAGAGAAGTATGTTTTTCTAATCTTTTACCAAGTCAGACCATAGGAGATCATATTGTGGGCAAACACCTAATAAACGATAAATTGCATTTTTATATTTTTTTATTTAGTTCCCAAGAAAAATATTTACAAAATATCGAATTCTTCGTAAAATGCCTACCTATCTCAGTGTAAACTTTAGCCATATCAGTTTGAATATCATATCCTGCTACGTACGCCGTACCTATAAAGTGAAAGTTATGTATAGACTTTTCTTATTACTGATGATAATAAAAATTTTGTAATTGCCATAAATCAAAAATAAAATTTTACCAGCAGTCGGCGGATACAACCCAGTCATAACATGTATAGCCGAAGATTTTCCAGCACCATTAGGTCCAAGCAATCCAAAAACCATATTTTTCTAAAATAAATCAAGTTAAATTTCATTTATTCTAAATATTGTTCAGAAAAATTATTTGTATTATTTACCTCTGCGGAAAACGATAACCGGTTAACAGCCAATTTCTTATTGCGATAAACTTTCACGAGTTGTTTAACTATGAGATTACAATTTGATGGATTAATCTCATTGTTAAGGATTCGTCGTTCTTCGTCTTTTATGTCCGGATCTTTCAACTATTGTTTATCGAAATTCAAAAAAAAGTGTGAAGAAGATGAACAGAATCGATTCTAAAGGACAACAAAAATCTTGGATGTTCCAAATACATTGTCATCAGTTGTGTTGGCGAGCCCTTCTATTATCGATTTCTTTAAATTTGAACAAGTATGAAATTAAAAAAGCATTCGCAATTCGGATTCTTTTTACTTTTAAACAGATATCTCACGTGAAAAAGTTTTGTGCCATCTAATGCTGAGATTTCTTCAGAGGAAAATCGTCTTTTCGCCCAGTTGTATGGTTCCGTGATGAAAAAAAAGTAATCTTTAGGGATGCCGTATTTGGTTGGTAGAACAGCTTGAAGGTATAAAGTTAACAACATCATGACTATCCACTCGAGAGAAAGAATTTCCATAATTGCTAAAAGCTCATCGGATGCATTAAGATGTCCGAGATCATATGGCTAAATATATTTTTATTGAGTAGGAGTTCTTGGTTTTAGATTGAATCAATGACTTTAAGGCTTACTCGGAGACCGCCTGCTAAACTCGCGCGTCTTGTAATATCACGAAGACCTTCGTAGAATGCGAAAGACGGATGTAGGTACCAAAGGGTCGGTGGACTATTGTTGCCGAATATATAAACTGCGAAAAGATAAAGTTAATTAAGAATAATGCCATTTCGTGTGAATTATAAAAATAAAAAAAATTACCGGTTATTCCACTAATGATAGCAGATAGCACAACAAACACATAAACCGTGACTAATGCGAAGGATGAAATAGGTATCGGAAGAAAGAATTAGCATTAGAAAAAAAAACGAGAAGCATAAACAAATTTTTATTACCTATAGCGCGTCGAGTTTTTGAGAAAAAGGAACTGAACAGGAATCCCATTGCCACTTGAACATTTACCCAGATAAAGAAATAGAGCAATAAAAGAGAGGGATCTGTACGAGTAAAGATCGTATACTGTAAAAATTGTCAATAAATAGATAATTTTTGGACAAAGTAAATGTATAATTTTTGTTGATAAAATTACCTGCAATGCGAAACCAATCAGATAAAACACTAGACAAGAAGCTGCTTGCATAATAGTGAATTCTATATAATGATTCAACATGTGCTTAAATGCGCTAAGTCCAGACTTACAATGCATAAAGAAACAAATGATAGATTATTAAATAGTTTATCTTGTAAATAAAAAAAGTGAGAGAAGTAAATTACCATTTTCATAATTATAAATACACGCTCTTCTTTCTCGCGTACGAGTATCATCACAAATATTGGCATCAAGAAAGATACCGCTTTTTTTTAAATGATGTTTCAGTTAGACTTTTGGTTGATTTCTAAATATAATACTATGAAAAAAAATCCTACCATATGGATAAAACACCCAACCAATTATTGCCGTTACATCCGGATTTAATTCGCTTATATCGAATTTTCGAGGCATAGCCTGTAGTTTAGCTACAATTTCAACTTGCCCTTTTGCTAAATAAAATTAAATCAGTTAGAGATTAAAGAATAAAATCCATAAAACAACAAAAACTTACATAGTGCGTTTGTTATCTGACTTGAAGCAATTAAACGTCTGAACCCGGCACTAAATGAATATTTTGAAAAAGATCGTTGACAACATGTAAACGAATACGTGACTTGTGACTGCATACCTTGGATAATCCAAGAGAAGATAAAATAATGAGGCAAAGTTACTATTATTGGCAAGTACTTGACGAAAGTCGGGATTATTGTAAATATCGTTATTTTTTAAGATTATATTCAATATTTTTGGAAGATACCCATATTGAAGTGTATATGAGACAACTCCATTTTCGGTGTCAAGGTTATCGAATATGATTGCGCCATGAGGTAGTGGATTTAAAATTGTGACGTTGCTTGATGAATTAGTTTCTGATAATTGTGAGAGGGCTAATGTTTTGAAAGCTGCAAAAGTCCTTTGAGAAAAAAATTGATATTTAAGAATTAATTTACATTTAGCCAAGATATAAAAGTATTAATCAAGCTTACTCATTAAAATCTGAAAATAAATCTTGATTAACGGATGACTTTTGAGATTGACTGAACACTCCAGTATCAAATTTTATATTAGCCTTAGATAATGAAATTCCTTGCGCTTGGTCTGTGAAGTTTTCAAGATTGACCGGAAGATTAAAATACTTGTGAGGGACATTGTTTAAAAAAGGGCCTTTTAAAAAAACATCAATTGATATTTTAGTAATCAACAATAATTCAGTGCTACTTTAATCCATATAAATATTACCTTGGTCTTTCCGAGTTGCGCTGGAGTTTAAGCATTCGTATAAATTGGATACGATATCTTGGAACTCTGGCTTAGCAGAATATTCGCTTATATTGCTATTTATGCACGTGCTTAATTGATTCAAGACAGTTGAAATCTTTGTTGCGGGATCACTGGTAGCAAAAGATAACTCATCTATACCATCCGCTACTATATATCCATAGGGAAATGTTTGTGGCACATGATCATACAATAAATTATTAGAATTATTAAAATTCCACCAGCCATTATTAGGTTTCGGTAAATAAGTTGTATCTTGTTGAGAATCGTCAGAATTTTCGATGGAGCTTAAGAAAAAAGTGATTTGACGTTAATTGAAAAAAAATTACGCCATCAAAGCAAATACTGAACCGTCAATATTTACAGAAAATATGGACTTGGATTTGTTGTGTAACTATCTTGATTTCCCGTTAATAAATTAGAGCAACTTCTATAATCGGAACTACTGGCATCATTATTAAAATATTGATCGCTTTGCAAAATCCATGGACGAACAACATCCTCCAAGAGTTTCGGAGACGATGCATTCCGATGAAAAAATACTCCATCTTCCTTGCCTAACGTTGGAATATTTCCATAAGTCGAATTCATATAAGTGTTACTGTTGGAGCAATAGACTACTTGTGGTTTGTTTTCGTCTTCTTTTATTCCAGGATAAACCGCGATAATCACAAATTGCATGATTATCATCATTAATAGTGGTGTTATGAAGATACAACAGAAGTTGGTTTTCCAGTTTCGAACTGTTAACGTTAACGTTAATCTAGACTTTAATAAATTTCTTCGAATTTAGAATTTACTTAGTATAAAAACATTGATCACGATATATGATTTAAAAATATACCAATGCACGAAATTGTCTAGGATTTTTAATGGCGCTGCCATAATTAAAGCTTTGCGAAATATTAATTATTGAATCCCTATTAACTTCGACAATTTCTGAATTTTCGTATTCAGAAATATTATCAACCGTATGCGCCGAAGGCAAAGATATTGACATTTTTAGAGGAGAAATTATGGGATATCCACGATATGCACTTTAATATACAAGTGCTTGTTTCTTGTTACAATATTATTATTATTATTATTCACGTTTTTAACAATAAACAAGAATCGATCTATTAATATACAGTAATGAAATTTTCTAAATTTATATAACTCAATCATGCACTTCTAATAATTGTGGCTTCCCGGCACTTGTTCTTATCGAAATTGTATCGCTATTGTTCACTACCATATTTATAATTTTATGTCGTTTCACCTCCTTGTATTAAATAGAATAAAAAAAAGTGGCAATAATGTAATTACCATTTCCTTTTTTTGAATGTCAATAAGGATAGATAAAACGTACGGTCCTTCGGCAAATCTTTTCGCATGTTTGTTGACCTTATTAATTAATGATTATGTGCATGTAAATAATATAATTTATATATGGACCAATAAAAATTCTGTTACTATATGCGCAACTCGTAAAATATCGTAAAAAAAGTTTGCATAAGCCACAGAAAATGTGCATTCACATAACGATAATGCACATCGATTTCAGAACACACTAGCGCTAGATGTGAAGATTTAACGCTAAAGTTAATTTAAATTGCAAGTCCTACCAGATTTGAGAAATGATAAATTTTCACTTTATCAAAATACGCCATGATGATTAATTTTAAAGCTAGGGGAGGAATCAAAAATATTTATATATCCACATAAAACATATAAGATCTTGAATAAAAATGCCTGGGCAATATCCTCTAACGATTCCAACTTTTTTGCAACCACTCATTCAAGCATGGTCTGTCTGGATTATGACCACATTTTTCTCAATTCCAGTAGCCTTCTTCTACATGTTTTGGGATTTTCCGTCCTGGTTGTTGCACACCGTCTTACCAGAGAAACCAAAAGTTATTTTAATCACGGGAGCAAGGTATGCATTGTCGATTTGTGTCTTTGTCTGATAAATTTGTCGAAGTTGACTATTATGGTTGATCATTATTTGTGGCAAAAGTTCTGGAATTGGTGCGGAATTGGCTAAAACGTACGCTCGCCATGGTGTTACACTGGGACTCTTGGCTCGAAATCGAGGCGAGTAAATATGTCAGTAATTTATATAGAGTGATGCTCACCTTATGTTTGTTCGTTTTTTATGGATTAGAACGTCTGCAAAAAGTGGAAGATCGATGCAAAAACAATGGTGCGAACGTTGAAATTTTAGAGTGTGATATTGCAAATACTGAGCGCTTGATTACGATTTTAAATGACTTTGATCAAAGGCATCCTATTGATTTGATTTTCGCGAATGCGGGTACGTATTAATAATGTAAAGCAGGGGGTCAAATTTCAACTAGAGATTAAACTGTTTTTTCTTTTTTACAGCTCAAGCAGGTGCAACTATAGATGATGAGCACAAGAAAAGATGGGAGGATTCATGGAAAAGAGTTATGGCAGTTAACTTAATCGGTACAGTGACCACAATTATGACAGTCTTTAAAAGAATGAAAGGACGTCATCGAGGTCAAATTGCAATCACATCATCTATTGCTGGTTATTTTGCTGCCCCGCAAATGTGCTATTACAACGCCACCAAATCAGCACTGAACTCGTTCGGGCGCGATCTTCGTTACCTTGGGCAGTCTTATAACGTTAAAGTAAACGTGATCAACCCCGGATTTATTACCTCGCAAATGACCTTGGACCAGGCCCAGCCATTGGCATTGCCCGCTTTTTTATTGGCTAATCCAATGAAACTCGCCAATGTTATCAAATGGCAATTAGACCAAAATAACGATTTGATTACTTGGCCATTCTGGGAATTTTTACCTATTTTCGCAACGAATACTTTACCGCCTAGAGTATTAGATACTGTTATTTTTGTCATTGGTCGTTTTTGGGGATACTTCACGAAGGTTGGCGATCGAGCCTTCACTTAAATGACAGTAAATTTTTTACGTCGGAAACTCTAATTTAAATATACAGTAATAATATATCACATGTTAGTTTTTGTGGAATTATAAAATAAAAGCACATCTCCTTTGTGTTTTCTGTGCAGGGGTCATATTGTGATACTGTTACACTGTTTATTGTTTTTGTTGTATAGCAGCACATGTATGCGGGTAATTCCGAACATAAAGACTTGGCATCAAGATAATAAGTAATTGCATTCGATTACTGACTACACATAATACTTGTGGTAGAATTTGTTTAACAATATTAATATAACACGTACTTTAAAAGATAAAAATAAAAAGTCGGCTTCATATTCCCCTGATACCGAGAAACCTGTATATCAAATGATTGAGGCCGCAAAAAGAAACTTCGATCCCCATTTAATTACGCCACGCTAATACAAATACGATGCGCAAAATCATCTCATATCGCTAACATTAGTAAATGACAATCTTATTTAGTGTTAGTAGTAATTATTGTCCTTTAATCAGGTTCGAACCACCAATGAAAAATATGATAACGATAAGTTTACCTTTCATTGATATTTTTGGAATTATGTGCTGAAGTCTTATTTTTTTCGTGTTCCTCTTTTGTCATAGGTAGTTGAGATTTGTGCGTGATTTTTCCTTTCGGTTGATATTTTTGCGATTCTCTTTTTTTGCTTTAGTTAAAGGTTTTTATCGTTTGCGAAAACACTCAATAATTTCTTCATATGTTTTAACATATTCAGAGTTATAGTACTGAGAATGCAAGGAATTCTGTCTATTGTTTTCTGTTCGATAATATTATGTTGATTTGACGTGTGCACCATACTAAAAAAAATTATCCGGCAACCGGAAAAATTAAAAGCATTAAAACGCCGCGATTGTAACACACCCATGCATCCAATTTTTGCTGTGCCTAATTTTCTAGTTTTAGAAAATTTTAATACATGTATGTTTCTATTTATATCAGATTCATCTTGATTACTATTTTCAGAAATATATTTTTTTTTCTCTTTAAATACATGTAATCATTTTTGAGTAATGCCTAATTGAGTAATGCCTAAAAGGTCAGAACTTGCAGATTTCGAATGTGAAAAATTATTGGCATATGGAAAGTAAAAATAATAAGAGAACGAGTAAAATTTTAAGTTATTCTACAGCTTGTAATGTAATAAAAAATACAAAGGTCAAATCTCATGTTCTGAAAGATCTAAAATATTAAATGAATATTTGCATGAGCATTGCTAATTCTAATCATATAAATTTTATTTAAACTTAATATGTAATTTTTCTTACTAATAATTAAATTTTATAAATACCAAATTATCAATTTATTCAATAAGTAGTGAACTGAATTTATAAAAAGATGTATTTTGAGAATTTATAATTTGAAAATTCTAATAAAAGATATTATGAAATTTCTATATTATAAAAAATATTACTTTAATAATAAAAAATAATTAATTTCAAAAGAATTATATAAAATTTCATAATTTTTTTCAGATAATTTCTATTTTATTTTTATGAGTTATTTTATTAATATTATTATTTATTCTTTTTTATTTTATTTTTGCAACTTTATTTAACAAAATTTATATTTTGAACTATTTTTATCAACTTCATTTTATATTTTTAATTTATAATTTTTGCACTTTTAATTAGTAAAATTTATATATTTTATAAATAATTTTTGTATTTTTTATTAATATATATTTTTGCATTTTTTAATACTTTTCTAAATTTGATAATTATTTTTAAGAAAAATGAATTTTAAAAAATATATAAAAAATAACATAATATATTTCTTCAAGATAACAAATATTAAAGATCTATAAAAAGAATCATTATGCCAAAATGAAAAATAAAATTTGCTTATCTAAAAGACAATTGTAAAGACTATTAAAATTTAATGATCAAGTTAATAACAAATAAGTCTGGATATTACTTAATAGTAAAACATTTAGAAACTTTATAGATAAAAATTTTGTATAAAAGAATAAAATAAAGATATAAAAAAATTTTATTATAGTAAAACTTGCAAATAATAAAAAGCTTATAACTATTATTATGACAAGAATTGATGAATTAAAGTTAGATATATATTATATGCATAAAATAAATATATAAGTTTTAAATTATAAAAATATGATTTGATTCTTGAAAAATTTTAATTATTCTATATCAATCCAATTATAAACTAAAGAAATAATATTATTATCTTTACTTAAAAATCAAAAACTATTAAAATTCAAGTTAATAATAAAAATAAATTAGGATTCAGCTATAATTCAATCTACAAAAAGTTATCAAAAGTTTTCAAATAGGATTTTTGGAATGCAATTACTATACAAAAAAGATAATATTTATTATATAAATATAAGTTATTTTTGTTTATTTTGTCTTAAAAAATATTTTTAATTTAATTTTTCCTTCTAACTTTATTTTTTTATAAATTGTGATTATAACTCTGACAGTGAGAAAAAATAATGAATTAATTATAAAATAATAAGATATTATATTTTATCTTCATAAAAATAGTAATTTGTATAAGCATGGCAAAATAATAATTTATAATACATTAAAAAGATATGCCAAAACTGAATGTATGGAAAGCAATTCCAAAATATATGATAAAAATTTAGTTAATAATATATCAGCATGAATTTAGATGGTGATTGTGGTGGAAGATAATCTAATTAAATACTAGTTTAATAATATAAAATATAGATTTTAATAAGCTTAAAATAAAGTTTTAATAAAGTTTTTTTGGCTAAGTTTTAAAAATTATGTGTTTTATATTATATAAAAATTCATTCAAAAACTTTTGATAATTCTCTATATATTTTAAAATAGTAAATTATAAACTTACTAATAAATATAAAACTCTTTATTATATATCTTAGTAATACTAAAGATAAAAAAGAAATTAAAGAAAAATTATTAATATCCAAAGTATTAAAAATTAAAAGAAATATAAAGATATATTTTTAAAAAACTTACTAAATCAATTATTATTCAAGAAAGTTATTAATTATAAAATTGATTTCATTTCTGATTTTAAATTATTATTCAGATCAATATATAGACTTTCTTTTATAAAAATAAATAAGCTCAAAAAATAATTAGTTAATCTTATTTAGAAAGATTTTATTTATTCTAGTATCTTATCTTTTAGAATATCTATATTATTTATATCAATCAGCAGATATATTTCCCTAAAAGATATGCTATTGTATATTCATATGATTTTTAACATATATCACATTGGATTTTTATATATAAAAAACTGTAATAAAATCTTTTATTTTATAGCTTACTCTGGAATTATATCTTTTTTTTGTATTTTATTAAAATTAAAAGCATCAAAGGTAAAAGTTACTTTAATACATTTTTTATAATTATAGAAGTATTTGCTTGAAAAGAATCTTAAATTAAAGTATTATTTAGAATTTGTTAAATTACTACTAATAATTTAAATATAATAGTTAATATTAATATTTAATAAATAATCTACTTAATGATTATTATTATAATGATTCAGATAAAGATTATGAAATTCTTGATAATTATTATGATAATAATAATTATGAGAAGTATTTATTAGATTTATCTATAATATCTGCAAATACTACAAGTAATATAATTAATAATCTATTTAATGAAGATCAAGTTCACAATTTTAAATTTGATAAAGTTACATTAAATTATGCTAAGGAATATGTTTTAACTATTAAACAAAAAATTGAGATGGAAGAAAAACAAATCAATTAGTTATCATCTGATATAGATATTACTAATGAAGATAATTCTATTTAGATATAATTGACTAAAGATAATGAAGATTTAAATTATAAAAAATGATCTAAAAAATTGATTAAAACTAATATCACTAATCAATAATATATTCTTATAAATATTACAGATAGAAAATTATAGCATTATTATAATCAAGCATTTTGATCTTTAAAATAACTTATAAAAATCTGAAAGTTAGATTTTAATAAAGTAAATTTTGCATTAAGTTTAGGATTAGAAAAAGTATTAGAATCACTTGACATATATAATACTCATTTTAATTTTAACCAAAATTAACTTCATTCACGTGACTTAAAAAATCAAACTTTTATAGAAAAAAGTTAGATTCACTTATGAAAATATCTTTTCTATAATAGCAATAAATATTTTTTAGCCAAGATGATAATTATTAATAATATTCTTGGAAAGTTTTAGAACAAAACATTTATGTATCTTGTAATGCATTAATAATATATCTTACATTTAATCAAAATAAGATTTCTTAAATATCTACCAATAAAATTCATTCTTAATTTATTTATTCTTCTTGCTTTGAAATGGAAGATGGTCATATTTTTCAATAATAAGAAAAAAGTGCAACTCTATTTTCTTGTGCTAATATATAAGATTATTTTATTAATTTTTGTAAACAAGATAAAATGTGATATAAATAAGTTTTAATTTTATAACTTATAATTATTTTTATTATTTAAAAGTATT